CTCAATTGAAGTATCACTTATACTTACACACATTTACACAATCACTTATACTTTCCTTAAAATCACAATAAAAACCTTACACTCGAGCAATTTTATAATTTGTCGAAAGAAAATATTTTCTGGAATCCGATCCACAATTCGGGCAATACGTAAAACGTCTAAAAAAACAATCAACTCAACAATTAGCTGCAGCGTTTCTTTTTTTAATTCGCAAGAAAGAGGTCCACAATAAACTGCCAGCAAATTATACACGTTGCTTTTATTTTTAATTGCGTAGCCGGCGAGCCACCGTCCGCGCCAGGGGCCACGGCCCTTCCATATTTGAATTATGGCGCGCTGACATGTGATTGGTCGAAGCCGGAGTCCATCGTTCCGTACTTTCAACTTTGCATCGTATCATTATAGACGCGTTCATAACAAAAAGTATCATTCGATAAGATCTTTAATGAAAATTATTTCGTGTCCATTTACTTTGCGCCAACTGTTTTTATTGCAGTTTTGCGATGACTGTGTACGGTTTTTTTTGAGAATTTAGTTTAACTACATAATTATTGTTCTTACTATTTGATTTTCACTTTTATAAAATTAAATTCAAGTTTAAAACAACCTAAGTTTAGTTTTGTAATTTAATTAGCACAAAGGTTTCTTGATTATATTACAGTCAGCTACGAAGGTGCGTTTATATTTAAGTTAACAATACAAATAATATAGTAAATAATACAACAACAACAAAAAATAAAACCGCCTTCAAGAAAATAAAATGAGATCATCCATTCCGTCGAAATCAATTAAATATGCATTATTATGGATAACTCAAAAACTACTTACATATTTTGAAATAAAAAAAGAATCAACAAAATTGGTTCACCTAGAAAACAAATCTGAGTAGGTAACACATAATAAAAGACCTACAGTCAAATTACCTCTTCCATTTTTATGAAATAAATTATTTTTTTATTGCTTAGATGGATGGACGAGCTCACAGCCAACCTTGTGTTAAGTGGTTACTGGAGTCAATAGAAATCTACAATGTAAATACCGCCACCCACCATTAGATATGAGTTATAAGCTCTCAGAATAGTTACAACGGCTGCCCCCCCCCCCCCTGCCCCTTCAAACCAGAACGCATTGCTGCTTCACGGCAGAAATAGGCAGAGTGGTGGTACCTACCCGTGCGAACTCACAAGACGTCCTACTACCAGTAATTACGCAAATTATACATAATTTTGCGAGTTTGATTTTATTACACGATGTTATTCCTTCACCGTGGAAGTCAATCGTGAACATTTGTTAAGTACGTGTAGTGTAGATAATATGCAATGTTGCACATTGCAATATGGCGTGTATGTATGTGCGATGTCGGACGACGCTCCTGCGTGGGCAGTTGTTCGCTTACCGCCAGCTAAGCAAGGTGTGCAATAAATGCCTAATATATCATCAGTATTTTATTGAAGAACCCAACCAAAAATTGGTAACCGCTTGCAGGGGTTTGAACACCGGTGCATCGCTACATACGAATGCACTGGACCTGCATATCCTTAAGACCACGACGACTTACATTTTAGATCAGAATTTGAAATTAAATAAAGGCATCTGTTATTAATTAGATATTATTTATTAACCGACGATAATTTACGTAAGAACGTGTAAATTTTATTAAGTACCAAATAACACTATGTATTTAAAATCAAACGGTAGTTCGATATGAAACAAATAGAGCTATGTCGGATCGGTACGCGTTTTCTGAATAAATAGACCACGAAGCCATTTACCCGTTTTTATTTCATTTAACATCCACGCAATTGGTCGTGCATTTTCGGATTATGCTTCTTCTCCACTCGACAACTGTATCAACGCTGAGCCTTTGCTCGCCCACCTGTCCTGGTGAAACTGGAAAGGTCTTAGGGCCACCAGTAATCTTTCAATCATAAAAAAAACAACTTTATCAACTCTCGTCTGAGAAATGAGAATCCAAGCGGAGGACTGCGAAAGCTATATTTTTTTGCTTAGATTGACGAACGCGCACACGGCCAATCTGACGCTGAGGTGGCCAACATGAATACCATCATGAGATATGAAGTCTAACCTTCAGTTGTATAGTAAAACGATTGTTCTACCATTTACACCGAAACAGGCAGGGTGCTGGTGCCAGTACGGACAAACAAAAAACGCCCTACGAATTGCGAATCATACTGACAAAGATGTTCGGTAATATATCACCGAACAGTAGAAGCCATTCGTGAGCGCCTAATTACGTATTTCATTGGAAGTATGAATAGGTATTTCTTGGTCGCCTCGGTCAGTAATGGTATACGGGCCGTATTTGCGTTTAGGCCAAGACAACTTTTATTAAACCTAAAACCATAATTCAACAAGCATTCTATCGCATGCTACGGTCCGATCACCGAGAGAAAACCAAGTTTACCACATAATTACAACGATTATGCAAAGTAGACGGTGCATTCTACATCTCAACAAGCTTCCCTTAGTCAGTATTAACTACGAGGAGTATGTAGGGGAAGCTTAACGACGGAGGGAAGATCTTCAACCGAGCGGGTGATATTTGCTCGGTAGACCGACGGTCCGAATGTTGTTGTTCGGGACTTGTATATATGCTAACTTATCTTGAAATTGTCGTAAGCGAGATTCAGGTATCTGTCAAATATCTTGCGTTGTATGACGGCTACCCGCCACAAGTACAACTACAGATTTTAGATTTTAGCACCGTCAAAATTGTAACCAAAAAATTTACAAGTCACACAGAAAAACATTGTCGTTTATCGCTCTTTCTATAGCTAAGTGAAAACCGCATCGAAATCGACGATTACTTGAAGACGATAATCATTCGTTGGTAGGGCCCTTTTTTATTGCCCTTGTAGGCAGACGAGCATACGGCTCACCTAATGGTGAGTGGTTACCGTCGCCCATGGACTTCAGCAATGCCAGGGGCAGAGCCAAGCCGCTGCATACCGCTTAATACTCTCCACAAGCCTATTCTGAAGAAGGACATGTCATAGCGCTCGGGAAAGACCGTGGAGGGGAGCTCATTCCATAGCCGGATGGTACGTGGCAAAAAAGACCTCTGGAAACGCACTGTCGATGAACGCAGCGGTTCCAGATAATATGGATGAACTCTGCTCCGATGGCGGGAGGTGCGATGATAAAAAGGAGATGAGGAGATCATCTCAAACAATTCCTCAGAGCACTCCCCATGGAACATACGGTACAAAATACAGAGGGAACCGAACTCCCTCCGCAGACCCAGAGGTTCCAAACGGGTCTGATAGGGCTAATAAACAACAGAAATGTATTTCACCGCAAGCTCATAGTTACATCTATTCGATCAGGACCCGCCATGAACGCATTTCCCCAATGGCCGAATAATACACACCGTCTGATTGATGCTAAGATGATATACATAGCCACGTTGACCGCATAAGAGACCCGTATTCGTATACCCGCACAAGATATAAAAATGTGCGCATTCAACGATCCCAATTTTTTTCCTTACCTAAGCGCTGGTACCTAGCCTAAGGGGTTATTCCAGCTACGCGCGGATGGGTAGGTGAGCTCACGGGTTAAACCTGAGAGAATTAGCTAACACTAGCCCTAGCAAGAGCAGTGCTTCGCAGAATCTACCGCCTTTTTTGTTTTTACTACCTAAGCAGATAGCCTAGAGAGGCTATATAGTAATCTAACAAGTAGGTGAGCTGTCGGGACTCAGACCTGACGACGTTGCTAACACTAACCCTTTTTTTTAACAATGGAGAATCCATTTACAGATACCCGGTCGTGGGGGGTAACAGACCGGGTTATGTCTCGGGAGACACACCGTGAGCGGTGCACAGGAGCCACCTTGCGCCGCCTCACCACCGGACCGACAGCCGAGTACCGAGCGTCCCTGCACCCGGCGCCCGACAGCCCCTATGGGAGATTTTTTATTTATTGCTTAGATGGGTGGACGGGTTCACAGCTCACCTGGTGTTAAGTGGTTACTGGAGCCCATAGACATCCAGTGAGATATAAGTTCTAAGGTCTCAAGTATAATTACAACGGCTGCCCCACCCTTCTAACCGAAACGCATTACTGCTTCACGACAGAAATAGGCAGGGCGGTGGTACCCACCTGCGCGGACTCACAAGAGGTCCTACCACCAGTAATTACGCAAATTATAATTTTGCGGGTTTCATTTTTATTACACGATGTTATTCCTTCACCGTGGAAGTCAATTGTGAACATTTGTTGAGTACGTATTTCATTAGATTGGTACCCGCCTGAGATTCGAACACCGGTGCATCGCTCAACACAAATACATCAGACGTCTTATCCGTTAGGCCACGATGAACGGGAGCTTTGCGCCCGTGCCGCCTACTCCGCCTTCTTCACTGAGGAGCCCAAGAAGGATCCCACTCCCTTTCGCGCTCCTCAGCCTCACGGAACGCCATGACCAGATCGCAAAACCTGATCATGGCCTCCAACGAATTCTGGTCCTCTAGCATGCGGGCGATGACAGCCCGCAAGGAGAGGTCCCTCCCCAGTACCGCGGTGAGATCTCGCTGCACTATGCACTGCACAAACAAAAAAAAACATAGCTATGAGCTGCCTTTATACAATTTAAATTCCGTCTGATTTAAATCAAAAACTTATGATGTTGTAGTCTAGGTTACTTACTCATTACCTAGTGAGATATATTGTGAATAATACCTAATTATTTTATTAAGGTCAAAATACTTGGTTAAATATTAAATAATATATTTGTAGAACTGAAACTTTTTGAAAGAACAGAATCTTTCAAAATTCGCGCCATTTCAGATTTCCACAATTGTTCTCGTTCAAAAACCAAATTTGAAATTCGGCATTGTAAACAGATTTTCCATAAAGCGCTGAAGGAAATTAAAGTAATACCAAAAGCCTACTCTATTGTAATTATCATTGGTGCTTGTCAAAAAAGCAGACTGATTTTAAGTCATAAAGTGAGCGAGAAGTTGGGATTTATTCAATTTTGCTGTTTATGTTCCTGAACGACATATGGAAATGTCAAAATGTTATATCCCTAAAGATACGCGGAAACCGCGAATGAGTGTTTTTGGGTTTTTTATCGTCCTCATAATTATTGAATAAATTGAATGTGACTGTGAAAAAAATATTCGTATAAGTTATTTACGAATCATGTCTTACGCTATAATGCGCCATTTACGTCGTACCGTGATTTTAACACAACAAATTCGTTATGAAACGACCATGACCAGTGTGACTCAAGAAGACTTTGTATTTAAACCTCCTTTAACTCACTGGAGCAAACTTATAAGAGAAGCGGAGAAGATCGTGGGCTATCCGACTTCCTTCATGAATTTGAGGTGGTTGCTAAGCGACGAATTTGCTAATTTGGCCATGCATTTGAGAAAAGTGGTGGGTATTTTTTTCTGTTAACTACGTTAATACAAGTCAATATAACTGATACAACCGCATTTCACGATGTTACCTACAATTTGAAGTAATTCTTAATATAAAAATGTTGATTAGTATATTGAATGTAATTTACGAAACATTATGTAATGAGTGTTGTAAACATGAGTGCCATGTGACAAGTTCACAATCAAGGTGACTGACCATATTATACACCTGACCTCAGTTTCAGTTTCCTTTCGATTTCAACCTTCATTTCAGTAAAGTAAATAAAATCTTATGAATAAATTATAACAAAATTTTGTCCTAATATGCATTCTTAAACTGTTGATCTGAGTGTGATGAGACTTGTAGAGCTATTATTGGCACTCTAAGGATGGATGTAATATAGCTTTAGTTGAGTTGTTACTTGTATGGGAGTAATTAAAAAAATGCTTTTTCATGAGTTTAGTGATAGTCAAGATAGCTAAATTGGATTCCACTAAATGAAAATAAAAATAAACTAACTGCTTTTTTGGTATAATCACTACCTAACCTTGATATATATACTTGTATCCTTTTCTTTTGATTTTGTTTTTTGTCTCAAACTAACCACAGTAAATATTGTAATTCAAAATATTCGTAGGATCAATTTGTTGTACTATTTAAATAACTATTACATATTTGTAAAAAGATTCTGGTTTTCATCAGGTTGGCAGCAATCATCCAATAGTCAAAACTGCTAAAAACTTTTTATACAATGAACACAACAACCTACAGCCATGGGGCCTCATCATTTTATTGCTATCAAAAGCTGTCACTCCAGAGACTTCATCATTACAAAATTCAGCACTCGCCCAAGATCAAAGGATACTAGCTGAACTGACAGAAATGATTAGAACAGGTCATTATGTCCATCGAGGATTGTTAAACATAGCACCTGATGACCGAGACAGCAGTATGGCCACATCTATGTTCGCAAATAAAATAGCCATTCTCATTGGTGATTATCTACTGGTCACTGCAAACGGAATGCTTGCTAGGCTTAAAAACCAAGATTTATCATACTTGATATCAACAGCATTGAGAGATTTGAGCGAAGGAGAGTTCTTTGGTGAAAGGGACAATCAAAACATACCCATACCAGGCAAACCGGTGCCCTTTGAAACTGGAGAGTTCGATATATGCAGTGATACAACACCGTTAAAAGTTAACAATATACTAGGTGAACCAATTCGGGAATGGACTCTGAGAACTATGTTCAATGGGGGTACATTATTGGGCAGAGGTTGTCAAGGCGCATTACTACTTTCAGGTCACGGTGAAAAAGAACAAGAAATAGCATACAAATTTGGCTGCTATCTCTGTTTAGCGTGGCAAGCTTCAGCTGAAATCCAAAAAATAACATCCGATAACAAAGAACATTACTCATTAGTCAGTGCACCAGTTTTGTTTGCTTTACATGAAAACCCTAAATTATATCATGGTCTAGAAAATGCTAAGAGCGTTTCAGACATAGATTTAGACAAATTGAAAGTGGAAATATTGAGAACTAATGCTATAGAACAAACTAGATCACTCTACAGTGAAAATGCTAATAAGGCATTAAACTACATTGAGATGTTCGGTGATTGTGAATCTGTTGATACCATAAAGAAAATGATAAGAACTTTGTAGTTTAACATTTATAGACAGATTTTTTACATCTTAAAACTGTTCAATGTTATGTGGAAAGGATCTACACCGTGATCCCACTATACCCTCATAAGCATCTACCTTCCCAGCTCTTCGAAGTAGGTAAAGAGACGCTGTCTTGAGTGACTCCACGCATGCCCTGCACAGCGGCCCACAAAGATTTAATATTATAAATCAGTAAGCAAAATCTGTGATTCTGTACCATTAGCATGGTTATTTAAGTAATGAAAAATACCCAATTTTTATTGATAGCATTATGCTTCAAATTATAGGTATATTTTCTTGTTACCTTAATAGAATGTGACATAATTTATTGTGAGTCTGAAGATTAAAGATTATGGAAAATAATGGCTGTAGGCTACTTTCAATGATCCTGTGCATATGAAAAAAATTCTGCATAAACTTTTGAAGCACTCCTGAAAAACAAGAGATTTAAATTTTAAATTTCATTTAAGTATAATTTTAAGTTAGAGACCATTTAAGCATTTTTATAACATGTTTTTATTAGCTTGGTATGTATCAATGTAACCGGAATATTTGAATGTATTTTATACCCCCTATAGAACGTCGGATTGATTTGAACGTTGCAAATACACTTATCGAGGATTGTTATAATGCACTAAAAGCTCCTTTACTATGAAATTGTCATCCTTAAAGGTTAACAACAAAAATGAATAACAGTTAATAAAACGAATAAATACTGTTTGCTATGATGTTTCACAATAACTTTTATCAACATCTGTCAATAAAATATTTTAAATAATTGACATCTAGCAAGCACCCCGCTCATTTTTACGATAAAATGTCTTTTTATATCATTATTTTTTTATAACTTATAGTAAATTAATATCTTTAATTTAATTCATCTAAGCTACAAAAGCGTGTATTTGATGCTTTAAACCAGTGGTTCCCAAACTTACTTTGTCTAGTGCCCACTTTCAGAATAATTTTTTTTTTAGCGCCCCCTGTTTTTTCTACCTACTTAAAAACCACTATAGCGAGAGCTCAGTCGGTGTCTAAGAGTCCTCCTAGATGAAATTACAAATCGCCTACCAAGCCTCTACACAAGCCCCCATTTTTTTCTGGGTCTCTTACCGCCCCCCATTAAGCCTGCAGCGCCCACAAGGGGGCGTTATCGCCCACTTTGGGAAAGGCTGCTTTAAACCATTATTAAAGATTATCTAAAAAAGTGCGTAAATCACAAATACCTATTCTATTAATCGACATAATTACTTTAGTGCTCCACGTAGGGTACTGGTGACTTACACAGCAGTCAAAGGGCTAAACATGAACATATGGTAGGCAGCGGCTTGGCTCTGCCCCTGGCATTGCTGACGTCCATGAGCGACGGTGACCACTTACCATCAGGTGGGCCGTATGCTCGTCTGCCTACAAAGGCAATAAAAAAAAAATAAAAAAATTACGTGGAATGTGCAAACGTTCTAACCTTGCGCGTATTAGGAGATATATTAGCTATTATTAAATAAGTAGTTCTATGTGATTTTTAATTATAAGGATATTTCAAATATTTGTTACCATGTTGTCTGTTATGAAATATAATTTCATGTTTTGATTATATTGTTTTGATTTCGACATTCATTATTACTGGTGGTAGGACTTCTTTGTGAGTCCACCAGTCCAGTGTAGGTACCACTGTCCCGCCTACTTCTGCCGTGAAGCAGTAATGCGTTTCGGTTTGAAGGGTGGGGCAGCCGTTGTAACTATACTGAGACCTTAGAACTTATATCTCATGGAGAGTGGCGCACGTTGTAGATGTCTATGGGCTCCAGTAACCATTTAACACCAGGTGGGCTGTGAGCTCGTCCAACCATCTAAGCAATAAAAAAAATAAAAACAAATGTGTTCACGACTTGTAACGCAGCTAGGAGCTTAATGAGCTATAAAAATCAACTCACGCGAACCAAACGCCTCTAAGTTTTTACACGAAAAACACAAATTTAATGGCGAATTAGTGTTCGAATGGCGGGCCTCAAATCCATTTGAATCGGTAAAGAAAAACAAAGATACAAACTTGCACGATCACATTTTACAAATGCTCAACTATTCCACAAACTTTCCAAGTTCCAGAAGCGTCAACGAACACCACAATCACTTTTCAATATAACCCATGGCCTCATCTCTTATCGTCACCGCCATCTTCTGCAGCGCGACCCTAGCGTCATCCACCGGGAACCGCTCGCTACACTTAAAAACTGAAGCCAGTTCTTCCTCAAAGAACACGCACAGATACTCCAAAGACCTTGTACTTCTTACAGCGTAATACAACTGCTTGTATTCCACGGGCTTCCTTTCCAACTTCGACTCCAAGATGTGACCGTAAATAGTTGGGTATTCCCAAATGGCAAAGATCACTGGAGCACCAACCAGAGAGTATGAATACGGGTGGGTGAAAAAGTCTTTAACGTCTAAATATAGTTGCCACATTATAGCCAAATGGCCGCCCAAAATGTAAGCATTCCTTTCGGCGTCTTCCCCGAGATGAGCCAGCTTCGTCGCCGCCTGGCAGCCTTTGCCAAGTAGACTGCCAGACGTGAGCATCGTGCGGAGTGTCCACTCGTCTTTTCCGTGACCGAGGAAGTCATTGGAGCCAAGTTTTTCCAAGTTGTCTTCGGTCTCCCATTTGTAATGCGTTTCAAATTTGTTAGTAGCTGAAAGAAAATTTCACTGTTTGAGTTTAACGAATTGAATGAAAAAAAATAGTACCTAAAGAGAAAATGGCTTGCACTGCTATATACATTATTCGATAAATTTAATAACTTAAAAATAGTTTTATCAAAGATTATTTACCTACATAAACTTAGTAGTAGTTAGTAGTACACTACATACTACGTATTAGTAAATACTATTAAATTCCCGTAAATAAAGATTCTTGAATAAAAAATCGTCAATATAAATTGTTAACTTGAATTTTCTCGTATCGCATTGTTGTGTGGCTTTTCAATGAAGCATGAATACATTCTTACTCATTCGTTTTATATCGAATTACGAGTTATTCTCATAGAACATGACGACAAATTTAAATACACTATCCTTGTTACTGTACAATTGCAAATGGTTAGTTAAAATAAAAATAAGGTTCTTTTTTCCCTTCCTATGCTGATAGCCTTGAGACTATTTCAGCTTCTCCTTGACGTGTAAGTGAGCTCACGGGGCTCAAACCGGGGGTGTTGCTAACACTGGCCCCAGCGAGAGCAGTGCTTCGCAGAATCTACCACCGGATCGGTAACGCGACTCACTGAGAAGATCGGGCGTGTAACTCAGTGGGCTAAAATAAGGAAAGGCTTTTTCACAAACAACGGCAGGTCAACGTCTATTGCTCTGCCTGCCAATATGTAAAATTACGGTCTTGATGGGACTACAAACAAAAAAGACATTATTAGCACCCCACTGAGTTTTTCACCGAATTTTCTCAGTCTTTAGGTCGCGATTTCGATGTGATGGTAGTTTATGTAAGGCACTGTTCTCGCTAAGGCTAGTGTTAGCAAATTCTCTCAGGTTGAACCAGTGAGTTCACTTAACCGTCCGCGCGTAGCTAGAATAGTCTTTTAGACTTCCAGCGAACACTTAAGGAAAAAAATATCATTATTAATAGCCCAAAAAACAGTCAAGCACCAAATGATTTGTCTGTCTACAGTTAGCTGACGAACCAACAAAAACATACCTTTTGGTTGTGTCGGTATCGGATTATTATTGTCATCGTGCTCCCCAAAGAAATCTCCTTCGACTAAATCCCTTAGACCAGTCGAGATCAGCTCAGTCACAGCATTATTGCGAAGACCACCCAACTGCTGAAGGCATTTAGCTAATAAAAAGTCGCCTGCAGAATAAAACGAAGTTAGTTAAATTAACTTAAGTTCCTATATTATGTACTTAAAGTTGAAGTATCACATCAAATATCGTGCCAGAGATTTTTTATTGACTTATTAATTTATTAATTTATTAATTGGATAGACAGCTCATGGCTCACCTGGTGTTAAGAGGTTACCGGAGCCTATAGACATATACAACGTAAATGTCGCCACCCACCTTGAGATATGTGATGTAAGGGTCTCACTTTTAACAATACTACGGCTGCCCCACTCTTTAAATCGAAACTCATTACTGCTCCACGGCAGAAATAGGCAGGGTGGTGGTATCTAACCGCGCGGACTCACAAGACGTCCTACCGCCTATTAAAGTTTGAGGTTCGAGAAAAGCTCTCAAAAATATTCAAAGGCAATACCTACGTGTATTTGTTGATATTTTGAAGTTTACGCTGAGCTTACAGGAGCACTCGTGAACCGTTTCATAGGCAACTTAGTAATATATCTTCCGCGGCTTATGATTGAAAGGTGCATAATGAATCAATAACACGTCAGATGATGTCAACAAATTATTAGACAACATCAAATCTTTTCAAACGACTGTAGGCAAAACGTTAACTAACCAGTCAACAAAACAATCTTATTCCCATATAGCAAGTCCTTGACTTTCTCCTTGTGTTTCTCTTTGTCCTGAAGATTCACCATAGCCTTGTGTATCATATGACCAGTCCTCTTCATCTCTACAATCTCCGCCAAGGCTCTCTGCGCATGTAGCACCCCGGAATCATAATGATCTCTATTGTAATAATTTGCATCGAAACCAGCTGCTTTGGAGACCAGTAGGATGATGAGACCAACTGACTGCAAGTTGCTTTTCGAGCCAATGAGGAGGTTCTTGGCGGATTTTAAAAGTGGATGGTTCGTGCCAACCTAAAAGTATAATTTAAGTGGTTTCTGGATGCATATTTAATATTTAATAAATAGACACATTCTGAATAAAAAATATGGATAAATAAGTAAGGTAAGCTATTCGTATTAAGGGTTGCGACTAATGGCGTCTTTAAGAACAATTACCACGTGAAAATTTAATTCGCGGTATCAGTAATCGATTCGAAATTACAATCGATCGATTGTAATATAAAGAAAAAGTGAAAATTGCGTAATTACTAATAGTTTTCTAAGCCCGCAACTAGTAACATTAGAACCATTCTGCCTACTTCTGCCGTGTAGCACACACGCGTTCCAGTTTCAAGAATACGATAGTCATGCTGCGAAGGCAGTGGCGTTCATGTTGTGATTTGAACATTGTGAACTCATCATATAGATTAACATAACAATCCATTAAAATCAATTGCTATAGAAAAACCTCATAACTGTCGCCATGTTATAGAAAATTAAAATGATTACCGAAACTGACCAATTTACGCAAATGTATCGCGGTATTGGCGATCTCGTCATTGAAGAGCCAACGTAGATTTAGGAAGGATGTCGGGTAGCCGACGATTTGTTCAGCCTCGGAAACTACGTCCCGCCAGCCGGCGTCATCTCGCTGGCCCAGGCCAAGTTTATTGTTTTGACCGGATAAGAAGCACACTCTTAAATATATGCAGAAATACGATTCCATAAGGTTTTTGCGTGTTTGGCAAATTGGAAAATGTGAAGTAAGAACGTAACTTTTTATTTATTGCTTAAGTGGGTAGATAAGCTCACAGTCCACTTGATGTTAAGTGGACATCTACAACGTAAATGCCGCCACTCGCCTCGAGACATGAATTCTAAGGTCTTACTTTTAACAGTACAACGGCTGCCCTACCCTTCAAACCGAAACCCATTACTGCTTCACGACATAAAAAAGCAGGGTTCTGGTACCTAACGGTGCCGACTCACAAGACGTCTAACCACCGGTAAAATTGGATTCCATAAGGGTTCTGCGTGTTAGGTAAATTGGAAAATGTGCCGTAAGAACACAAATTATATAGCTGATGTTACACCCTCCTTTTGCAAGATTTTCACTACCTCATTTTGGAAGTTTATGTATAATTTACCATCGCCCCGCCTATTTCTGCCGCAGGCGTTTCAGTTTGAAGGGTTACAAAAGCTATACAAGTAATGAATATACCGTATAAGTAGCTATAATTATCTATGAGTCGCAAAAAGCGAAGAAAATACTACAATATAATTGAGACTGAATTCGTGTCTCAAATTGGGGGACGGCATTCACGACGTCGAGTCTATGAACGACGGTAATCACTTAATAACAGATGGACTGTGAGCTCATTAGCAAATACAATAAAAATGAAATTAGATTGTTTCATCGATCACATTAGCAAAGAAACGATATGACGCATTTTCGTCTGTGAGGTTACAAGTACGCCGGTAAGGCCATTTACTTATCTATGGTCTGTAATTATGTATCTACAGTCATATCTATGTCACTGGTATTCATACATCCATTTTTACACTTACGGTTGAATTACACGCCCACTTAAATGTGATTTCGATAATAAATTTAGTCTTCCGATAAACATTTTTGTAACAAAACAGGAGACAGCTTCTAAACGATATTTTGTACGAATCAAAACATGCAAGACCCAAATTGTCAATTTTCTTCTGTCATTTTAATGTTTTCTTCTGGATGCTTAGAACGGTATGTATAAGAAGTTTTACATACAAACCGGGTGAATTCCGGGTACATTTTTTTTTCAATGTCATCGGGCACACAATTCTGTTGATGAGTGGTGCCCGCATTTCATGAAGTCAAATGTTTGCGCTTGCACTTGTTCCCGTCTCAGCAGTTTTTTTATCCTAACTAAGCTGATGGTCTTGAGAGACCGTATCAGCGTAACCAGGCGAGTAGGTGAGCTCATGGGTCTCAAACCTAACGTTGTTGCTAACACGAACCCTAGCAAGAGCCGTGTCTCGCAGAATCTACCACCGGATCGGAAACGCGACCCACTGAGAAGATCGGGCGAAAAATTCTGTGGGCTGTTTCTGTGGGTTAACTTACTCGCTAAGCCCTTCGTCGCAAGCGACGGTTTCGACAAGAACGATGACCGGTGCTTGGGTACCTTAAAGCACCGTTAGTGGATCGTGAGGATCCGAAATGATTGGGCGACGTCGGCTGTTTACCATTCGGTCCGCGGGATCGGGAATGCTTTGGCACAGGCAATGGTCCAAATACAATCTGCCTTTTTGTACTAATTTCTCTCCTTTTTTTTTAAAATAAAGCAGACATATTTTTATATCCAGCCGTTCGTAATATATACGTGTTGTAATGATTTTAATGAATATAGTAAGTTTTATACGTTACAAGACACTTAATTATATTGAAAAAGAGCAGCTATAGATTTTGATTGCCGATTCTCTTTGGATGTGAGACAAGATGTCTGCCATATCAGTGTTAAAGTCATGACAAATTGAAAGGGCCAGTTTTTTGCGGTCTACTTGAAAAACAACAGATTTTTATTATATCGATTGATATATTAATAAACACAATCACATTCCTGCCTCGGCTTTGTCGTAATGAGACCACCTTACACGGGATTAGTCATAGATCTTAACGGGTGAATATCAAACCGCTTCGATGCTACAATCAGACCGCCCGCCGTGAACTTGATCAAAATCACCGAGGACTCGCACGAAAGGACTCAAACTTGTTTTACGACTTCACTTATATTGATATTGTTTAACTTGATTTTATATCTTGAATAAATTTTGGAATTTAAAATGAATGATGTTCATTTTTATTTGTGAATTAAATGTTTAAAACGTTTGTGCGCATGTGTCGGGTTAAAGTGTACACAAAGTTTGGCCCTTTTCATATGAAATGCTTAAAGTATGACGGCCGTTGAAATTGTAACATATAATTTATTTCTCGAGAATAGTATCTTTTCAATCTCTTTAGCGTACTACTGATCACTCACATATCATTCATTACAGTAACGCGTATAACGGACGATGTGAAATAATGTATACTAAGTTTAAAGACTGTACTAAAGAAAGTGTTCTTGCTTATTACTGGTGGTAGGACCTCTTGTAAGTCCGCACACATAGGTACCATCACCCCGCCTATTTCTGCTGTAAAGCAGCAACGCGTTTCGGTTTGAAGGGTGGGGCAGCCGTTGTAACTACCTATACTGAGACCTTAAAACTCATATCTCAAAGTAGGTGGCGGCATTTTTGTTATAGATGTCTATGGGCTCCGGTAACTACTTATCGCCAGGTGAGCTGTGAGCTCGTACATCAATGCAATAAAAATAAAAAAAAATCGAAAAACTATAATCCTAACCTAATCTAAAGACAAATGATTAACGTCCGGTGCATTCGTGTGTAGCGATGCACCGGTGTTCGAATCCCGCAGGCGGGTACCAATTTTTCTAATGAAATACGTACTCAACAAATGTTCACGATTGACTTCCACGGTGAAGGAATAACATCGTGTAATAAAAATCAAACCCGCAAAATTATAATTTGCGTAATCACTGGTGGTAGGACCTCTTGGGAGTCCGCACGGGTAAGNACGTCCGGTGCATTCGTGTGTAGCGATGCACCGGTGTTCGAATCCCGCAGGCGGGTACCAATTTTTCTAATGAAATACGTACTCAACAAATGTTCACGATTGACTTCCACGGTGAAGGAATAACATCGTGTAATAAAAATCAAACCCGCAAAATTATAATTTGCGTAATCACTGGTGGTAGGACCTCTTGGGAGTCCGCGCGGGTAAGTACCACCACCCTGCCTATTTCCGCCGTGAAGCAGTAATAAATTAGTAGTATAATAAAGCAGTAATAAAGTAGTAGATGTCTATGAGCTCCAGTAACTACTTAACACCAGGTGGGCTGTGAGCTCGTCCACCCATCTAAGCAATAAAAAAAAAAAGATAGAAGTGACGATTTCATAATTACTTCGTTGACGAGCAATGTTAAGCAAAGCGGACGTTCTCTGTGAAATGTTCACGTCATGTCAAATTCTTAGAACTCGCGCGTATGTGGTTCTCTTAATAAACTTGTTGGCAATTCTAATTCTAATAGTGTCTTTGAAAATTATATAGCATATTTAAATGTTGTTACAATTTAAGATACATGTTTAATATGTGCTGCGTTTCCAAGTACAATAACATTCAGCTCACTGTCTGAAGCCACTGAAAGCATTTTTGTCACGGTATGCGATAACCGATTTTAGATATCCATGGTTTAATTTAATCACCTAAATACAATTTAACGACATCAAAACTGGATAGGCCATGCACAATTTGCTTTCAATTCGTTATCTAACAATTTAGGGTTGCCACCAATGCGTGTTTCCGTAAATTATCCCAAATGTCAGTGCACACGTCAAATAAAATCACTTAACGATTAGAACAACCACTGACATTTGAGGTCTTATTACACTAAACGGTGTGGTCTGAGGAAGCGAAATACCATCGGAAGTCAAAACAAGCTTTTGCATTGACCATGAACCTTCACAGACAAAGAATTTCCTTTTAAGCATAGAGTAATTACCATTACTTACATCCACGTTATTTTTGTAATTCGAATTTTAAAAGGAGCAATTTTTGTGTATATTCAAATTTCTAAAGTGACATTACGAATCGATAGAGCCTACTGCTCAATACTAATTGGTCATTTATAGGGATAAAAGTGTACATGGAAATACGGAGAAAAACAAAGCTAGAGGATATTGAAGAAGATTTTGAAGTCATCGTAACCTAAAGGATAAGACGCCCGGTACTTTCGTATCGAATGATGCGACTATACCGGTGTTCGAATCCCGCAGCCGGGTACCAATTTTTCTAATGAACTACGTACCTAACAAGTGCTTACGATTGACTTCCACAGTGAACGATTAGCATCGTGTAATAAAATTAATTGTATATTATTATTTGCTTAAGTACAGGTGGTATAAAATCTTGTAAGTCCGCACGGGTAGGTACCACCACCCTACCTATGTCTGCCGTGAATCAGTAATGCGTTTCGGTTAAGTGGGTTGCGGCATTTACGTTGTAGATGTCTATGAGCTCCGGTTGTGGCGGGTAGCCATCATACAACGCAAGATATTTGACAGATGCCTGAATCTCGCTTACGATATTTTCAACATAAGCTCGCATACATACAAGTTCCGAACAACAACATTCGGACCGTCGGTCTACCGAGCAATATGACCCGCTCGGTAGACCGACGGTCCGAATGTCGTATATTCCCAAACGGTAACCACTTAACACCAGGTGGGCCGTAGCTCGTCACTTATCTGTGATTTTTTTTAAATCAATACTACAAACATTATAATTTGTGTAATTACTGGTGGTAGGAGATCTTGTGAATCCGCACGGGTCGGTACCACCACCCTGCCTATCTCTGCCATGAATCAGTAATGCGTTTCCGTTTATAGGTCGGAGAGCTAATTTATAACTGAGACTAAGTTTTTATCATAGTGGCTGAAATTCATGCACCGATTAGCTACAGTAACCATTTAACACTAGGTGGGCTATTAAGTTGGTCACCCATCTAAAAATAATCCGTCTAGATATTTTCAGGAGCTTGGGTATGCGATTCACCCTTTCTAGAGTTACCACTGCAGCTCCTTCACCGATTGATGGATAGTATTTATTAACTAATTACTAACTAATAACTAACTTAATTTCTCCTAAATTCCATCTTACTTATTACTACACTGCTATGCTACTTAATATGCCGTAGCCCCACCTCCCCTAAAGCAAAAGTCTGGCCTCAATATATAATCAGTTATTTTAGAAAACATCGCAAACCAACAATCAAACAACAAAAACAAGAAACTCCGAAAAGCTATGTTCAAGTAATTTAAAAATTCGAAAATTGGGTTTATCTGTGGTAATTATAAAAGGGTTGCCATTATAATGGTACGATTTAATTGTTAGTTTGAAACGTTTCAAATGAATGGTTAGTTAACAGCCAAAGGGCCTACAGTATGGGTAGCTGTCAAAAAAGGGAATTAATAAAAAAAAAACATTTTCGTTATTCAAAAGTTGATACAGCCTCAAGTTATAGAGACGTGATGAATGCAGGCCGTTTCCGATCAGTTGCACACAGCACGAAGTTTTTGTTTGTCACGATATTTGATTATTTATAAGTAGCTTTCCACCACAGCTTCGCCCTCATGGCACAACACTTTATATAGTGACCGAAGATCCGTACTCAGCACCCATTTGTTACAGATTTTAATGAAACAAACTAAATTCAGCTCTAAATTGTTAACTGTCGATCTGTGAAAACTACACGGAAATCCATTCAGTACCTAGTTACCGAGATATACTCTCACCAACAAAAACTCAGAAAATAATTAAAAAAACCGTAGGTTTATTTTAATCTATTATATTTTATTATTGTAATATAGAAATTACTTTAATTAATATTAATTTCTGTATTATTAATTAAATTAAAGTAATATAAATGTTAAAATATAATCATTATTATATGCTTCTGTTTTTTATTACTTATCATCAATATATACAGAAAATGCGGATTCGTTTTACCAAAATTAAATGTAGCTT